CCAATTAGCCAAAATGTATCCAACTCTCTTCACCGGATACCTCAGACTCACTCTACGATTCATTGACGCAAACGCAACCAATCAACCAAAACCCAAAGTACCATCTGATAAAGACTTCCTTCAGTACTCCCTTGAAAACTCCAAATCCCCTAAAGAACGTTGTTGCCTACTTCAATCAATCACCGATGAAAATTTAAGACCTCCCCAAATTCTACTGGTATTGCCGTACAGGCAGGACCGACTTCGACAACATGCCAAAAGTAGACAAAACAGGATGTCCAATTAATTTAAAAAATTAAAATTAATTAATACCAGCCACCTCGTTCACACCATCGCTCTCTTTATATTCAATAATAGTGTAACCGTAGTTCGGAATGAAGTACCGCTCACCAACAACTAGACCTATCTTGTTGTTCTGATCAATGTCACTGCATTCCGCCACATGATGACCTGACTGAGGATCGTGGTCATGCATCTCACCGCAATAAGGGCATTCAACCTTTGTAGTACCCTGTCGTCTTAATGTAATAGGAATCCCGTAGTAGTCCTGCAGACCTGTACACTCGCATCTCCTCCAAGCTCATAGGAACCCCAGCAGCAATACTGTGATTTTTCGTAGATTTCCTGTCACTCATTGTGACTCTCAATACTCTCCAATATTTATTGTAGCCAGACTCTGCACCGCCCTGCCCACTTATCTGACAATGGTGGATTTTATGAAACGGGAATTTGTAACCGAAGCCTTCATCGCCTACAACCACTTGCAGGGGGCAATGCAACTCTGAACAGTTGCTTGATCCACCAAGACGAGGAAGTAAACGTCAAACAGTAGTTTCCCATGTTCACCGTCAACGAATACAGAGATGACTCAGTCAAACTAGACCAACCCCCTGATGATGAATGGGTGCATGCTAATCAGCATGTCAAGCTATGATCTAATGCACACGAAGAACCTAAAAAAACAAGAACACATCTATGTGAACGCCTAGGTATAACAGTCTCGGCCATGTCAACAGTCCCGGAGCCTTAATCAACCCAACGTTCCGAGTATCTGTAACGCAATGTTCCGAGTATCCGTAACCCAATGTTCTTAGTATCCGTAACCCTCTTCACCGGTTAGCATTTCAAGTACGCGCGAAACGCTCAACACGAAGCGTGAACCATCTCACCGGTACATATGTTGAAGTACGACTAAACTTCCCTAATTACTAAACGAGCATCTCAAATCAAAATTCATCCATGGAACACATAGGCATTAGCACGTGCAACCAAACCACCTCAGTCCCCCTTTTCTCTCCACGGCGGCTCTGGAGGCCTTCACCTCCCCATTGGTGAAAGAAAGGTTATCATTCTGGAAAGTTGTGTCACTCACTTGATCCAGTCTCAACTATCTGTGTGAGGTGCAGCAACCAGATCTTTTCAGGGTACCACCAGTGTCGACAGTTCGTTGCCTCCTTTTCTTCATCTTTTTTGTGTACGGGCCACTGCTCTACTAGGAAGAGCAAGGGATGCTTCAAATGGGCTGTATCTTGAAGCTATTCATGGTGTCGGACTGGCTAGTAGCATTTCTTATTGTTTGATTGTCAACCCTACTGCACTACGCTAAAAGCTAGTGTAAAGATCTTTCGAGTGTTTTGAGTTTGAGAGAATGAAAGTTATGAGAAGAGAGATAGAAAGATGAAAAACTAATCAACGAGAGAGATTCATCAAGGGATCGTAGATCTGGCTTCCCGCGAGACTATAAAGTGATAGAGTAGGTTGCTTAGAATCCTACTCCTCAGATCCAAAAAACGGAACGCGTGAAGATTGTCTAGCCTTGATCTAGTAGCGTGGAAGTACTCCACGCTGGCTAAATATCTAGAGCGATGTTTCTCATCAACCTAGTATGACTAGAGCGGTCATTGAGACACTGTCTCAAATGACTATTCACGAGAGACTCGTCATGAGTCGAACTCAAACTATCTAGGATCGAGTCGCGAATAAGGCTAAGAGCCGTTGTATTGCATTGCCCCCTGACAAGGGTCACGGAAGGCCGACAGCAGTCGGGACAAGGAGAACATATGATTAAAGTGCGGGGCACTCTCATGAATTTGGATGTAGACATGTCGTCGCACGATGCAATCCTACAAGGGGATCAGGTTGTATGGGTGTATATACCTTATGTTCCAATTCTGGTAGACTGTGCCGCCTTGGCGGTAGCATGTTGGAGCCGTACATGCCATTGTCATTGACCGGTTTAGTTAAGGACTTTGTACTTTGGCTGACCGTACTTTGCTGTGCTGATACTGTTGTAATTCACAGTATCGTTGACATGTATGATGAGGGACACGTGCGTTTTCCCTTCGATGTTTTGTTGGATTAGTCGTTGGCGACTTTCCTTAATGTACTTCCGTTGCTTCGAACGGACGTTGGAATCGCGTCACGATTGAACACAGCTGTGCGGCGTGCACCAAGGTGGTATGAACGTGGCATTCATTGCAAAGCGCACCGCCGGTGAGGACTCCCATCCCAGGATCCATTCACGAGGTCGTCTTGGCACTTGATGTTTGATAACAGCGATCAAGTTACGTATGGTTTGATGAGCACGCTCGACCATAGAGTTGGTTGGGGTTACGCGTGTGATGAACTTGCGACGAAGTTCCATATTCATCCCGGATGTCTTTTCGACCTCTGCGGGAACGTCCGTCCTCTATCCATGATAACACTCAGCAGGCCATGGATACCGAGTAAGCCAACGTTTGTTCTAGGACGATGGCTACTTCGTCTGCTGCCTTGGAGCAGTCTCGTCAATCTCGAACCATGGTTACGGGATCATCATTTCAAGCAATGAAGTGTGCCAGAATTCTTTTTCTTGGGATCCCGACGTTGTAAGGGCTATCAGGTCAAAAACATACTTTCCAAAGGATCTCCTCGCAAGCTCTTGGAGGCATCAAGGAAGAACACCGCGCCACGTCATATTGCAGCGATTGTCGGGAAGGAACTTTTCTGTCCTATGTAGAATGGAGCACATCCCGCTTCGAACATGTCCTGGAAGACGTCATACGCTACGATACATCTTCCATAGATGTATCCAAACAAGGTGGTGGCAGTAAGGTTCAGACTCACACGCGATGAAGTTATGAGGACGCAGCTAATATCTCAGTTTAAGGGTTCATAAAGATATCTAGGATATTACAAACACATATGTAACAGTAGTCGCTGGCTCCACAGCGTCGCCTTATCTGGTCCCGCGTGCGTACGATATGCATAGTTTGGTGGTAGAGAGGCCTCGTATCGAAAACCTGTGAATTAAGCCCAACGTGCACGTCGGTCTCATTCCAATTCTATCCGCATAATGTTATGGATTCGGGTCCATCTTGTCAGTAGATTTGGTGTGAGGCGGACTCTCCAAGGGAAGGGCACGCAGAGCGCACACGATCCGACTGAACGGAGAGCTCTGTAGCCGCCCCTACATGCCTTTGGGCGGCCGGGAAAGAACGTCCACATTACCGACAGCATGGCTCTTAAACTGTTTACCACATAGAGAGCGACATTCCAACATTTTGAGCGATTATGCGTGCCACAGAAACGAGGCCGTCCTTGTCGCTCATATAATACACGCATCTGATGGGTGCCCGATAATAGGGCTTAGTAGTCCGTGTTCGGTAGGACTGGAAGTCTTAACCCCATAGATCCCTTTACTACCGCAACTCAAGCTACTCCCACAAACCTAGCAGCAACCGCAGCAGCCTGTACGCCTACATGTATAACATTATGAAACATCGCTTTTGAACCGACAAGCGTGCGAAGAAGCAGTGCAGAGCTTAGGAAGCTTTCAAGGATAACCATATTTGTTTGTACCGGTACTAAGCATCCCCGTTCAGTGTAATCTCACTGGCACCATCAACGTCCTTTCAGGAGCACAGTATCGTCCGGATTCTAACCTTTGTGGCAATCCATCACCGAACCTCCAGCACCTCCAGGTACTAGCACTGTAAAACAGTCATCAACAGTGGTAATGAAAGGGCCGGAAATCACGAATTGCCCTCAAACCTACCACTAGCAAAGCTGAGGGCCTTTTGTGAAACTTTTTGTGTGTGTGTGTGTCGCGTACATATGGTCCGGTTTCCCTTGCAAGGTTAAGGCTAGCGAGCACACCAGATACATATGGTACGGTTTCCCTTGCAAGGTTAAGGCTACCTGTAGCCGACAAACCTTAACCCTTCCGTTCCTTGGCCTTTAGAAAAATGCAAGTTGAGGGCACTAGCCTCCGGCTGGCTGTCATTTTATGAATCCAACCAAATTGATCAATTCGAAACCAAAATATAAAGAACAGGCAGCCGTAGGCTAGTGCCCTCAACTAGCATTTATCTAAAGGCAAAGGTTTCATTTTTTATTGTATGTTAATCAGTCGCGTTGATAAGCCTAGCTTTAATCTTACTAGGGAAATTCGCTTTGAGCTGCCGGTACGGTACTGTAGCCTTAACCTTGCAAAGGAAATTGCACCCTATGTACTGGTAGCCTTAACCTTGAAAGGGAAACAGCACCATATGTACGCGACAACACGACAGTCGACGCACACACAACACACCACACACACACACACGAGCGAGCACACACACACACCACACAAGATAAAGTTCAAAAAGGCCCTCAGCTTGCTAGCTGGTAGTTGAGGGCAAACCGAAACCAAAGTATATAATTGAAACCTAAATATAAAATCGAAACCAAATTACTATGGTAATTAACTAGTAAAGTCAAGCTGAAACCAAAATATAAGATCGAAACCAAAATATAAAACCGAAAGCTAAATATAAAATCGAAACACAAGTATAAATCGGAATTTGGTGTAAATTGCCATTTCGGGCCCTTTCAATTGAAACAAATCTTTTTGGAAAAAGAAAAATCAAATCACTCTTTTAAAAAAATCTTTTGAGAAGCGCCGCCACGTGGAAGGAAACCTCGCACGTTCCGAAATGTCTTGGCGTCTCAATTGGCTTGCATAGCTCCTGCATTGGGGAGTTGGCTTATTTTTACTGGGTTCTTGTCGCGTGGCGGCATTTTGGCATCAAGCTTGACACCCACACATCATCACATTTGCTTTGAATTTGGAACTGCAACTCTCCGAAGCTGCTAGAAGCCAAACTCGTTTTGAGGTACCAGCGGTAAACTTCTAAAGAAAGGTAAGGCCTCACCTCAATAGAGTTCAAACGCTGCGAAGAAAAAAACCAAGAGGACAGGAGGATCAAGGATGGAAATGCGCCGCAGAGTCTCGAAACTAGCCGATTGTTAGCGCAACGGGACGATAGTTTGTTGGGACTTTGGGAGAGCCAATCATTTACCACCGCTTTAATTTTTGCCTCTTTCTTTTCCGCACGGGTTCACCACAATCATCCTTTCAAAGTTCCAACATCGAACACAGTCATTCTCAACCTGCAGCCAGCAAATCATCAACCATGGGCTCTTTCCAATCCAAAACTTCTGGACCACAAATCCATTCTCCTCGCCACTCTTCCATTGGTGGCCGTCTTCACATTGATTCTCCAGGAATCAACAGCAACCGATCCTTGCGTTCTCGCAACAGCTTTGCCAGCCCTGGCTCCAACCGGGCTTCCAGCACCGGACGGTTGCCCGTAGGAGAAACGACTCCTCTAGTAGCCAAAGCAGAAAATGTTGTGGCAGTACAACATGGCAGTCCCCCCTTGATGGTTTGGATTGGACCTGCCTTGGTATGTGCTCTTGCATATGCCTTGTACAATATCTTTATCAAAAAGGGTTCTGCATCCATCAATCCCATTTTGGGAGGCGTTATTCTCCAGTTTGTTGCTGCAATTCTTGGCTGTGTCCTCTTGGGAGGTGTTATCTTATACAATACTCAACTTGCTCAGGGTGGAGCTGAAGGCGATGATGAGGAGGATTTTTTAGAGTGGGATTGGACTGGTGTGAAATGGGCCATCCTGGCAGGATTTGCTGTGGGTGCTGCAGAAATGATTTCCTTTTGTGTGAGTGGTATGGGTGTCCAGGCAATGCAATCTATTCCAATTATCATTGGTGGCAGTGTCATGTTTGGAACTGTTTTGGGACACCTGGCGTTGGGAGAGACACTGACGCCTCGAGGGTGGAGTGGAGTTCTCCTGATTGCTATAGGAATCAGCTTTGTTGGAATGGACGATGAAGGCGAAGGTGTTTAAAAGGTCTCCAATCATTTTCTGCTGTGATTTGAGGCGCAGAGAACCAGATGGGCCTCTTCCGTGAAGGACGGAGATATCTCGCACTCTTTTTCGAGTCGATGGTGTACTACATGGACTGTATGGTCACTTTGAACCCAGCCAAAATTCAATTCTCATCCCATGCCGTCGGAGATACAAGTCACAGTGATGCGTTTCAGCAGTAAAAAAATGACAGGTTGCATCCATTTACACCCAGCTAGCTAGTACCGGCAGGTTGTATGAAAAATTATTTTTTTAAATTGTTTGGTCAAAACCTTCGGTCTGCCTGTAGATGTTGCTGATCAGGAATATGATACTCACGAGGACAGCCATTTGCAATGGCCCACACTAAAACGTGCTCATGTCCATTTGCTTTGGCCAGCCGGCATGTCGAACTGTCCCAGGGACAGCCATGATGTCTAGCCCATTTCACCATTTCTAAATGTCCAATGCTAGCAGCAGCAGAACATGTCATGGTATCCCAAGGGCAACCGTTTGCACGGGCCCACATAAGCAACTCCAGATGTCCACCTCTAGCAGCACTTGCACAAGTCCTGCTGTTCCATGGGCATCCATTCTCGTGCAACCACTTCAAGATGGCCAAGTGCCCACATTCCGCAGCAGCAGAACATGTTGACTTTGACCATGGGCAGCCTTTTCTCCTTGCCCACATCAGAATGTCCAAATGTCCACCTTCTGCACTTTCCGAACAGGTCCTGCTGTCCCACAAGCAACCATTCTCATGAGCCCACTTCAGTATATCAAAATACCCACGTTTTGCAGCATTGGAGCATGTGAATCGGTCCCATGGGCATTCATTGTCTCTGGCCCATTTTAGAATTCGCAGATGTCCTCCTTCCGCAGCTGCCGCACAGACTTCTTCACTCCAAGGGCAACCATGCTGTCGTGCCCATGTTAGTAATTCGAAATGCCCATGCCGAGCAGCATGTGCGCATGTGAATTGATCCCACGGGCAACCGTTGTCTCTAGCCCATTGTAGGGCATGCAAATGCCCACCTTCCGCCGCAGCACTGCAGGTATCAGGACACCAAGGACAACCATTCTGATGAGCCCAAATCAGAACATCCAAATGGCCATATCTGGCGGCATTTTTGCAGGTCCTGACATCCCATGAGAATCCCTTTTCCCTGGCCCATTGAAGAACCAGAAGATTCCCTACTTTGGAAATTTCCATACAAACATCATCGTCGTGAGGGGTTCGATTCTGTGATTTATTATCGGACAGCCAGAATTGGGCACATGGCACATTGTAAAAGCCTGCGCTGTAGAATGTTTCCCGACCAGTTATTGGGAATATCGAAAACATGATACTCCCATTTGGAGGATTTTGCACACTACGGCAGTATTCTTGGTAGAGCTTCCTCAATTGCTTGTTGACAGCACCGACAAAGGCATTCTGGCCCATGCCGAGAAAAGGGAGAATCTGTTTGACCCAAACATCCTTCTTGTCCAATAACATGGTTTTTGTCTGGTTGGATTCGATTTCAGCTCCTTCAATACTTTCGTTTTCTTGCGACGTGCCAGTGATAGAGAGCTCCTGGTCTTCGCAACTCCACAACGGTGCTATCTGGCTGGACCTCCTTTGGACCAGCGGACTGGAGTTGCAGCCAACAAGCTACTAGCTATCATGAACATCAGAACATGCGAAGGTGCGTGACAACGGAGGGCTTCAGTCACGCTAAATGCAGTCATGAGTACGGTAGGCCCGCTCGACTGCATCCAATGACGGTCCTCTTCTTCTCTTGCCATCTTGCTACTGTACCAGGTAGCTTGCCATCATCCATCATCCATCATTCGCCTCAGCAAGCGCTTGAACCATAACGAAGCAATTAATTTGAGTGACAGTCTTTCAGTCAAGCATACAGAACTCTACCATGTCCTCTCGTCTTGGCAAGCAGAATGCGATTGAGTTGTCTAGTTTCCGGTCTGCCTTTTTGGCGGATGACAGTTTGGTGACAATCATTCCCGACTTTGACTATTCTCATGACATTCCTCTCATGTCAGGGTCCGCCAAGGTGGGCCCTTTTCGGGCAGGTATTCCTACAGAGGTTCCTCTCTGGTTCGCCCTGATGCTCCAACAACGATCCCTCTGTTCCCTCAAAGTCTTGGACTGGCTGGCCACGGAAAACTTGACAAATGTCAAGCAGCACGAAACCACACAGACCACTCTGGCGCCTACTACCAGCACTACCAATACTACTACCAATGACAATGACGGCGCTACTTTACCCTTTTACTATGCCGAATTGGGGCAACGCTTTGTATCCGCAAAATCACATTCACAAGCCGCACAAGCTCCCAAGGCCTCTCGTCTCTTGTTGCAAGATATCGCTCAAGTCCGTCTCGACAAGTTGCGACAACAATTCCAACAACTCACTCGGCAGCAAATGGCCAATCCCAACATTTGTGTGGCGGTTCCTGGAATTGCCAGTGCCGAATTGGCCACCCTCAAGCCACTCATTACACAGGCACTCAATGATCAACGATTCTTGGCGACATCTGCTGCTTCTGATGCTGCCGCAATCAAGAAGAAACAACCCGTGGAGGACAGTATAGAATCACAGAGTCAAGAAGAACCCGTGCCTGGAAGCAACAACAACAATACCTTGCGCAGCCGTATTCGTCGTTTGAGACGATAGTCAGTGGGAACTATATTTACTAAAGAAGAATCCTCAGAGAGCAAACATAATGTTCACAACACACCAACACACAAAAATCTCTGCTTTACTGGTTGTTACGGTACACAATCATGCCGTCCAAAAGAAAACGAAAATTTAGCTTACCCGTCTCTTTAAAGTCATTAGCCTTTGGTCTTGTCTTTCCACCTCACCGCGCGGCGAGAAGGAGCCAGAAACAAGAGGTTGGTCATGGCGGCTCCATGGGATGCCAAAATGACATGTTGCCGGCTTCTCTCGCCAGTCCGGCTGTTCCCACACCGTAGTACCTTCCATTGTGACTTGCTCCATCTTGATGATGATGTCCTTCGAGTATCGTTCTGCCAGAGCCTTTGATGAATAGCGGCAAAGTTAGTTGGTAATCTTGCGTTTGATAAACCAATGTTCAAAAGTTCATGATTGCTGCGGGTACTAATGCATGTTCGTCTTTGTGGGCTTTCACTTCACTCTAGACGGCCTGTCGCAGAGCTCTTGGATCGGCTGGACGAGAAAACCATTCTGGGGCACGCCAACCTGTTCTCCGTTGTGTTGCAAAGCCGATACCAATGCCTTTCCCTAGTGGAGCGCGCCGATGCTGCGGGTCTGCTGGGGGACTCTTCCAAGGGCATGTACCGTCGGTCGAAGCAAGCTGGTGTGGGCGGCAAGGCAGCAAGATCAGAGAGGTCGTCCAAAAAACAAATTTGAGAATAGGCCGTCCTCCAATCGAGTCACGGTGATCCAAAAACCGATCCTGGATTATGGGTTGCTTTCCAGTTCTCGTTGAAAAGAACGACAAACAGAGAAAGGTCGTCTGAGCTGCTGCTTGAAGGAAAAGTCCCATTTTGAATCTTTATGTCGTCATTATTGTCCATGTAAGAACAAAGACCAGCTTCCATTTAGCCAGACAGGCCAGCAAATGGTTGACTGCTGTTGTACGACATGGTGGTGGAGGTGAAGTTGGCTTCCAGGGAGAGATGGCATTCGGGATTGGACAGGGGGCAGTCTAGGCTTTGCCTTCCTTGGTGGCGGCGTGAGTGCTTTGGTACCGTACCGGTGTGAGAGGTTCTGGTGGTAGAGTTGGTTGGTGCTGGAGGTTCCGTGGTGTCATTGTCACTTGGACGACAGAGGTGCTGCTGGCACTGATAGAGGTGCTGCTGGCACTGGTTGTCTCTCCATTGCCTCTGTTCGTGGGATCTTTTGGCTGACTATCCATTATAATTCATCTAGTCTACTAAGTAGTAGCAGTTCCCTGAAAGTCTATTAGAACAATCGTAAATCAGTAAAGTGTCATGCCATTCGCTGGAGCAATTCGTTCCAGGGTTTCCTCTTCCCCGGAGGATATGAAGCCCTTCTTGAAAAACTACCCTTCTGGAAACACATCAATCTTCGTGTTGGTGTGGTGGTAACCCGAGAATTCGACAAACATCGTTGCACTCGTGAGTTTCAAAGAATGCTTTGATGCCCTTCTCGCCTCGGTCTGTTCGACCCAGATCCATGTTACTGTGCGATAGGGCATGGTGGCTCTTCTTCTTCCGATGAATGGCTGGGTCAGTCAGCATGTAGCAGCGGGTACCATCCGGTTTGACTTGCAACACACCCTGGAGGTCAACTACAAGAAACTGCCTCTTGCTATTCTCATACGTAAAATGACTGAATGCAGGAGGAAACTGCTGCTCTGCAAGACTGAAGCTGGTGCCACCATCGGGTGCCCATTTCTTGGTGCTGTCCATAATCCCATCGTCCTGTTCATCTTCATCCTCCTCTTCGTCTTCGCTTCCTTCTTCAATTGCGCCAAGGCCACCGCTGAAGCCACCCTGAAATGCGTTTCTCTGTTCACTGAAGTCTGACCCGTCAACAAAACTGCGGAGGGAGGCACCACCCGAGCCGCCTTCTCTCCTGACGAAGCCCATGTTGTTTGAATACTTGGAATAGGTTCCTTCTAGCATGGGCTCAACAAGGAGATTGAGTTCCTTCGTGCCTTCGCGAAGCTCCACCACAAGAGGGTCCAAAAAGTGAAATCTGGGCACAGACTTCAGAAAATCATGGGCGTCCGCGGCAAAGTGTGTGGACACCTCGTCCAGAGCAAGGTTGAATTTGTCGGCGAATCGCTGTGCCAAGGCCTGTGTTCTCATGAACTGTCGGTGGTAATCCATTCTGTCAGTGTATGTACCTTTCTTCTCAACGAATCGAGACTCTTTCGCAACCATTTTTGGTCCAATAAAGCTTTGCTGCTCATCAAGCCATCGAAACTTTCGGACCAACCGCTCTGCACCCTCGCCAAACGCAAATTTTTCACCGCAACCGAGAACGACGGAAGTCTTTTTGGAATCAAGTGTTTAGCACGTCGATCGTCCAGCCACTCAAGACATTCGTGTGATCCCTGATGAGTGTATAGGGCGCGTTGACAACCCTGTGAGTTGCAAAAGAGGCATGCCTTGCAGCGACGACAAAGTTGACCTTTGCTGTTGTTTGCACTAATATCAATGTCTCCGACAACTTGATAGCATGCCACACAACGGGGGTCCATAATGTAGACAAAGTCATCCTTCCTGGTACTCCAGCTCCAGATACGGATGACATAGTTTGAGAAGCTCGAACTTTGAAAGGTGTCCCAATCCTCACCCAGCACCAGGTCGTCTGGTGCATTGCTCCTTTCTCGTCTAATGTCTGTGCGGACAGATTTGACTTTGCCGGTCGCGATATCAGTAATCTCTGTCTTTGTCGTTGTCAAGGATGTGACAAGGCTAGTTATGATGCTTGATAGACTGTCCGTGTCAAGTGATGGCTTGTTGAATGATGCCACGGATCCAAATTGTTTGGCTTCTTCTACCATGGCTTCGAGTGTCGAGAAATCTTCATCCTTGTCTGCCATACCAATACATGAGATAGTCAATCGCCGCCCAAATTTGGAGGCAATGGTTCCAAATCTGGCGGCAAAGTCTCCATGATCAGAAGGTTTCCCGTCAGAGAAGAACATCAGTGACAGCGAGCAGCTACCAAGTTTATTAGCATCAAGAAGGTACTCAGCCATCTCCAATGCTGGCATGTAATTACCCCCGCCACTTGGTCTATGCTCGGACCATTCTCGCTTGTCAACCAGTTCATTGTATAGCACCCAGTCCATTGGCTCGCAAACCAAGACAATTTCGGCATCTTCTTTCATGCACACCACACTCACAACATCCGTACTGGAACACGATCCTGATTCTAGCTGACGCTTGACAAAATCCCGAGCCAAAATCATCCACACGCCATCTGAACGGCACCTTGCTCCATTCACATCATCCCGCCGCATGGACCCTGACATGTCAATTACCAAAACCGAGTGGCTCGTCCATTTTGTCCTTGTTTCTAGCATTTTCTCTCGGATTTTAGCGTGGGCATGCCTCATGACATCGGTCTCATATTCCGTCTTTTTGGCCAACATGATGGGCTGGGCACATTTGGTTCCCGACTCTAGAGAGGCAATGTCACGAGATGTAAATGAGGTGATTTCGTAGCAACGGTTCGGGTCATATATGAAAACTACTCCACCGTACGTGTACTTGATGCGTCCTTTTTTAGCCGGCTCTGCCATACCATAGCGTCTCGCACGCTGCAAGTCAATCTTTTGGATGTTGCGTTCGACGCGGCGCTCCTGACCATGAACCCCAGAGAGCAATGACGACATTTCCGTGGCCAGGGCCGCCGGGTCAGTGTCATGATCTGATTTTGTCATTCTTCTTTCCTGGTTCACAGATGATAGATAGGATCAGATTGAGGCGACTATCAAGTCCGCTTCGTTGAGGCCTCCAGAGTAGAAGAGGACCTCATGGCGTTGTCGGGTTGAGCTGAAGCGTCCCAGTATGGAGTGCATTGCCGTACCGTTTCGAAATATTCGGACACTGAGCTGGCCATGTTTCGAAGCTCAGTCCGTGACTATTCGTCAGTCACGTTTTGAGCACTCAAGACCTACGCTAGAGATCGAAACCAGACGAAGTTGGCGATGCTGCCGTTAGCCCAGGTGCTTGACCAGATGCGGGTCTTGGGAAGGAAAGATTCGATTCGAAGCAAATGTTGTTGTACCTTGCAGCTATCCCAACATTTCTGGATGTAGATGGTACCGGTACTGTAGTACACCCATCCAACCAAGAAGATGAAGTTCCTGGCCATTTCTCTTTTCCTGGTTGCTTCCTTCACGGAGCAAAGTTCAGCCTATTGTAACGATAGACCAGTTCCTGCAAATTGGGGTGGAGCCCTGCTTCACTGCAACTCAGGGTGTCTAGCATGTTCTGCTTCCGTTGACAACAACGATGGTACCAAGGATGTCTGGATCAATGGATATGATTGCCTGCAGAAGTCTCTCAGTTGGATGTGCTGCACCGATGCTTCATGTACTTCGGGCAGTGTCGTGAACGCCAATGACACGAACATGAAGGAGAACACCCACGTTCTCCACATTCAGAACATCCCCGTGGACCAAATGAGCCTCAAGATCCAAGTCCATGATAAGGCAGTCTACGGCAATGACAGTGTTAGAATAGACAAATGCAGTGGAACTCAGAATCCAGGAGGAATCTGCACCAATGTGTGCTCACAAGTGGTCAGCCTCGCCGATTGCCCTGGTCCCTTCAACCCCAGTCAGTCTTCACACTTGGAGAACGAGTTGGACTCGGACATCAGTATTATGGAACCGTCCATGGACTCGGAGTTTGACAATTCCAACAATGCTCCTTCTGATGCCCAACTGGGAGAGGGCGTCGTTGAGGTGGCAAGCAATGGCGAGTGCCAGCTGCTCCATGACATTGTTGAAGAAACTTTGAACAATGATACTGTGTTCAACAAGGATGCTGTGTCCATTGCCAATCTAGGCGGATACCCCACCATCAAGCACACCCAGGTGGGTGAGAACGAAAAGTAAGTTGCTGTTTGGTGTGATGTTTCAACGCTTACTTGACACTCGTACTATTTGACTCACACCCAGTTTTGTACATCTCTGCCCCATCCAGTTTCACTGTTTCAAGCATTGAGAAGATGGTGCAGCGGCAAGATTCCGAGGAGTGTCGTCTCCCTGAAGCTAATGCTTCTCAAAAGCATTGTAATACTTTTGAAGAAAGCCTTGTGGTGGAAGCAGCCGAGTTAGCGTATGCCGAGTTCAAGGAAGATACAACTGCCTTTTCGTAATGTGAACGTGGCTATCTATGAGTACGCAGACTGCCTTTTCCTAATGCCCAGCCAATCAATCAACTTGCTGACTGACCCAAGCTTGGGTGCACCAAATAGCCAAAGGGCATGGCCACGATACTGCTCGGAGTGGATTCGGGTCTGCAACTACTTCCTTCCTGTACCGTTGTTCCTGGAGAGCATACCGGTACCCTTCGGTCGCCCCAATACACATCTTAACTACATACCGTATATATCCTTACATTAGGCTTCATTTGATTTCATTCAAGCAAGCAGATGTGTCAGCCAACTAGCTGTTCTCGTCCAACTAACTGAAGTTCTGGCAGATCTCTTTCTCACCGTCGTCGTGGGCTGGCCCAACATGAGTTACGATACCTAGCCCTTGGCAGGAGGAACCCAGATGAGGTAGCGGGCAATGTACACTTTACATGTACTTGACGCAGAGCAGCAAGTTTGATGAAGAAGGTGGCGTTGCGGCTTTAAAAAAATCGAGGTTTGAACCCAAAGAGGAGGCAGGGATTTGTAGATTAACCCTAATTGAACCCTACGTAACAGCGTGGATCCACATCACACACGGCACCCACCAAGAGAGCAAGGGCCGAGGAGAGCAAAGGAATTTCATGAGGCTTGTTTGTTGGAAATGACAATGGAGGGGTCGTCGTCCTCTCCTTTAGGTGGTACTCCTGTGAGTACGCAGCGAGTTGTTATTGGGGGAAGTCATGGGCATGTTGAAGAGGCGATCGACGGCCACTTGTTGGTGCTTTGGTCGGCCTCTCTGTGCAACTGGAAACCCCTTCGAAACTGTACGGGACGCTACAGTTGTCGCGAAAAGAGAACGCGGGAAGAGTTGTCAACAAGAGGCAATGTGTTGTTTCCCTCTCAGATGGACCCCATCATGTTGATGCAGTATGCGCTCTCGTGTGCAAATAGCGACAGCAAGGAGAAGAATCTTGCAACGGAGTGGCAATTGCAAGTGTTTGCCCCGGCACCCGGTCGAACCGATCGGATCCTGGTCCTTCCATTGGATGCTCAACAACAAACGGGTATCATTACCTATGTCAAGCAACAGAAGCAACCACAACAACAGACAATCGACGAGCCAACAATCAGCAAAGATGTTGAAAGAGAAATGACATCAGAGACTACTGCTGTCGAACATGACGGATGCCGCTATGTCCACACATTGAATGCGCCTTCGGGATTTCAGCGCAAGCTCAAGGCAGTCGGCATACAACTAGGTTGAAAAGACGAGGCTACTTTGCGTCCATTCCAGTGCCGGCAACCGACCATTGACGTGTGGAAATCCCATGATTCCATGAATGTCGTGTTCAGCAGACAAACACCAACTAGACTATACTGGCTCCATGGAGAAGGAGATCGACGCGACACCGAATCAGAATGGAACACTGGAATGCGGTATTGCCGAGTTGGCTGCAATGTGCAAGACAAGTGATGGCTGAAACGATCTTGATCAAGCGAATGGCACGCTGTCTTACCTAATAAGCCACATTGATTGGCGATCAAAGATTTCTCTGAAGCTACAGTACTACAGCTACGCATACAACTTGAAGGACCCAAGAAGGAGGGAATGGGTCCCTTGTTTGGAAACAGCTAGGTTCAAGATCCTGCCAGGAATGGCGAACACAAGGTAGACTACAAATCTAGCATCGGTCGCTCAGCAAAACAAGCCACCAAAAAACCTTCCTCTAGCTAGCCGGCTATCGCAGCATCATTACACTACAACTTTTGACTTTCTAATACTAAGGGGGTTTAGAGCAGGGATGCCAGCGAGGGCCAGGATTAGGAAAAGAAGAGTCAAAATTCAGGACTGGGTTCCGTGGGATCAGGGGAAGATAAATTATTGAGGACTAACATTGGGGCCAAAGGGCTTTGCTTTGCAGGTTTCATCAGTACCGTATTAAAGTCCAATGAGCACAGCAGCGAGTATCCAGCCGCTAAATCGGACCCGGAATAAACTCGTACTACCAGCACCAATAATTGACCATGCCGAGCTCTTAGGTTCGGCCTGTGTACTGCTGCTAATGTTGTTGCCGTCTGTTGTACCTTCTGCGGTTGTGGTGGTGGAGGAGGAGGAGGAGCTTCCACAATAGGGCAGATTGTCGGTTCGCGGTCCGAGTCCATAGGCGGAACAGTCTTTGGTTCCGGCCAACTCTTGAACCTTGTCTTGGACTTGTCCCGACAATGGCTCACATTCCGTTGTGGCTCCATCCGAACACAATCGAATCCGGACCAGTGATTGTTCTTTTTCCAACGACACGGCCTGTTGATTGTACAGTGTGACACCAATTTCCGTCATTTCTTGTTGTCCCTCTGGTGTATTCAAATAGTCTTTTACGACATTCCAACAATCGCCGACTCCATCGTCACGACAATTCACAGTGTTGCCATTGGCATCCATAATTTGCGCCTTGAAAATCACTCGACCCGTATCGGATTCTTCGACAAAGTACTCGTCCATGCTCAATTTGATACCATTGGCAACGGTAGAGCCTTCGTTGAACCGTAGAAAACTCACGAGCGCATTTACATTGGGAGGATCGCTGCCGTAGATCGAGTCGAGAATGACGGGATCAATGGCTTGGTCTTTGATCTGGAACACATCCAAACATTCTTGCGAGGCGCGATACCAGGGAATCAAGACATCATCGCCCAATTGACCGTACACACGACATTCGGGAGGATCTTCGGGTTGAAAGGCGCACGCACAGACATCATCTTGAGCCTGACAGACGATACACTGTAGCAGCAGTACGAGTGTTGTCAATCTTAAGACGGCAATAATAGCTCGGGACATCTTGATCAGCAAGTACTGGAGTAATTAATTAAGAGGTGACTCCTTATCAGCAGACGAAATCGAGATGGTGTGGCTCTTCTTTCCCCACGCGTCGCTGTGTCAAGAAATGGCTTCTCGGATCTTTGTCTTTGTACATGTATCTTTCGACTGTTCTTTGCTTAAGCCTGGCCCCGGCTGGCTTCCGTAGACAATTTCCCTACTCTAAAACCCCCTTAAAATCTTTGTGACAGGGCCATCTGCCGGTACCGTATGTTTGATTTTTTAAGAAATAAGCAGCGGAAAGATCCCCCAAACCACACCGAATGATCAATCTCCATAAACCCACGCACTGCTAAAAGGGGGGGACCACCGGCCCAATTGCCCTCGGCCGAGAACGAATCGCATGGCTACCTTGTGCCAACGACTGAGTAATGGTTACTAATAAACTACTAGCTAGTAATGACTACCGGCAGGCTACAGAGAGCTTTCCACAAAACACAGATTACATTTTTTCTTTCTTTTCTTTGTTGAACATGCAGAGCGGTTCCACCCTCGTCGAGACCACCCACACGCAAACATGTATAGATAAAAATGGTCGGCCAGCCAATGATTGTTTCTCAGAACCAATTCATTTCATTTTGGCAAGCCCACACCATCAACACGCAACCATGTGTCGATAAACTCAAAGACGCTCGGTCGAACCAGATTTCACTCTTGTAAGCCCACCATGAGCAAGCGCCATCATCATGTATCGCACCGACATGTAGTAATATGTACGATGGATTCCACCCTCGTGAAGATCCATCCTTCGTATGCAAGATCGAGCACCATGACCGACAGCCACAGCCGTCAGAAACAGTGCAGCCAAAAGCAACGGGAATCAATTCTCCTCGTCCTCTTCATAGACTCCCTGTTTCATTCTCATCTTCTTGACCGTGCCTTGGTTTGGAGATGAGCCATCCATCATGATGCCAGCCATTGCCACGCTTGTGGGCGGACCCGCCGGAGGATCGCCTCTTCTTCCACGAACGTGATTCGTAATGTTCGGAACATTCTGCATGCTGCCATTGCTGTTCATGCCGCCACCGTTGTTGCTCTGCTGGTTCATGCTGCCATTGTTTCCTCCATTCTGCGGTGGACCCGAGTTGCAACCGTTGTTATTCATGTTGCCTCCCATGCCTCCGTTCATTCCTTGGGGTCCACCTAACATGCCGTTCATTTGCCTTGCTACTGACGCCAACGGTGCCAGCGCCGGGGGAAGCGAACGTTCATCCATTCCAGCAGTGAGAGCTGCAGCAGCTTGCAAGTGTTGGGCGGCAGCAGCCGCTGCCGCGGCATTATCGTTCATGCCCCAGAATCCACCTTGCTGGCCCATCTGCATAGCAGGGCCCCAACCGCCGGGGGCAAACTGATTAGGCATCATACCACCAGGGCCAAACTGCATGTTCATGTTGTTTGGCTGCTGCTGGTTATTATTACAACCGCCGTTTTGGTTGTTACCGTTACCGTTGTTCGGGTCGGGATTGTTGGAGCTATCGTCAGGATGGTGGGTTTCGGCGCCACTAGTGGACGAGACAAAGTACGGTTGTTGACCTTGCTGCTGCTGGGGGTTCTGGTTGCTGTTGTTGTTACCAGGACCGTTGTTGTTGCCACCAGGCGACCCGTTGTTGCCGTTGTTACCATTGTTGTTAAAGCCGCCCTGCTGTTGCTGCATGCGACCGTAACCCATGTTCTGGTTGTTCATGCCCTGCTGGAACATGCCTCCGGTGCTGTTGCAGTTGTCCGAAGGTCCATTGTTGCCGTTGTTATTATTGCTGTTGTTTTGGTACTGCTGGGAAGGATCAAACCCAGGAGGAGCACCAAAAGGACTCATTCCAAACGGACCAGGAGCCATGGGGAAGAAGGGGTTCGGACCCATGGGGCCCTGAGGACCCATCAACTGATGAGCCATACCGAACTGCTGGTAAGCACCATGGGGCAGCATCGTCCAAGGATTGGGGTTGCCTCCCAACATGCGAATGATGGCCTCGTTCGAGAACGCCTGCTGGGGATGCATCTGCTGCTGCTGCATGCTGTTCTGCTGCATGTTATTCTGGTTCGACTGCTGCATGCTGTTCTGATTCTGCTGCATGTTATTCTGGTTGTTCTGGTTCATCTGCTGCTGCTGGAACGGGGGACGATCGTTGTTATTCCCGCCACTTCCATCGTTATTGTTATTCGATGGGGACCCGTCTTGCGAGCGATCATTGTCATTGCCGCCAGCAGCATCATTGTTCTTCTTCTGGGGACGAGGCGTGGGAACATTTCGTCCCCCGCCCATAATGGCGACACCTGGCAGGATGCACTTGGAGGACCCGTCCACACTCGTCACCTTCTTCTTGAGCGTGGTGCGCTTGCGGCCCGTCGAAGTACGACGCATGGGAGTGCCATCATCAATGGCAAAGGAATCCTCAGCTTGCAACTTGGCCTTCTTGACGGGGGGTCCGTCGGCCTGTTCCGCCTTGCGCCTGTTGGCCGGGTGGTTCGGAGGATTGCCACTGGCACCGGGATGGTTTCCCTTGTTGGCGACGGTAAGACGACGGCGACGACCACCTCTCTGGAGCTCCCACGCGAAACCAAGGGAATTGAGCAAGCTTACACGGTTGTCATTTAAGCGCGAGGTTTTTCCCTTGATTAAATTCTTGTATTCTTGACGCTGTGGTTGGGAGGACATCAGATGAACAGTGTGAGCAATGATTTGCTGACGAACGAGCACGAGGGAGGCATGTTGGACTCTTCCACGAACGTACCTGTGTCGAGACCCAGTTCGCGAGTTGAACGTTTTGCTGTGGAGTTCACAAAAATGGAGCAGCAGATTAAGTGAGTACATGGATTTGCAGACGGAACAAGCAACAATTCATACGAAGTGATGATAGGTCAGAGGAAAAGAGCCGTTGGACTAACCTCCCAGCCAATCGGAACCTGCGCATGTCCGTAGTTGTGCTAGAATCAGGGAGAGAACGAGGGTGAGGATCTAAACTGAAGGGATTGGTGCCGTAGTGATCAGGGAGAAGGAAGGACGATCAAATCTCACCTTGAAGTCCCTGAGCTCGGCAAACCTCACTTCCCACATCAAATGACGAGGATTCTTTGCCGTCCATTCAAACCCAACATCCATCAAACGCTGGGCTCTCTGCATGGTCATGGGAGTCGTCTTTCCGCTGTTCGATTCCAACAGCTTGTAATTCTTTCGCTGAGCCGAAACTGAAACAGGCAAAGGAGGAGCACGATGTCGCGTGAGCATGCAAACGACCTGCACTTATTCACACACATTGAAAGGGCAACAGCACAAGATCAGATCATGACAGACGTACCCCATGCACCAAGCTGCAGATCCTCCTTGTAGCGATTGGGGACTTCATCGACAAAAGAAGACAATAAAAGAGGCGAGAAGCAGATAGATCGATGGGGTCAGCGAATCGAATCGACGAGAAGAGGTTCAGTCACCAATTCCATCAAGCATTACCTAGACAGTGACCATGAATCTCCTGTACGGTAGGACAGAGAAGATAGAGGACAGCATGAGCGACAGAAAGAGCAATGCCGACAACGACTGGCATCAACTGATGGCCAAAGCGATCTTGCTTTCTTACCTTGAATTCTAGAAGCCTCAGATACATTTCCTCCCATCGATCTTCACTGAGAGCCGAACTGGTACTGTTGAAGTAGTCATCGTCCACTTCTTCCTCTGCCTCTGCCTCAGGGGCATCCTCGTTGCTGTGGTTCCCGCCGTTACTTTCGGCATGGTCCTCTTCTTCAACAGATTCGTTGACCACAGGGGTCGAATCGTCATTCTTGGTTTCGTCTCTTCCAGGCGACGCCGCTTCCTTCTTTTCCTCCTCTGACGATGATGGCGAATCACTACCAGTAATACTACATGTAGTACTGGTAGGTTCCATCTTGGTCTCTTCGTCGCTCTCTTTGAGGTTTTCCATTGTGGCAAGAATCTACTTTGCTGGGTTGGAAATTGAATAGAGTTGCTGCTGTTGTTGGGATCTGACTAAAATGAGAAGGAGGGAGATTTCATGAAGCAAAACCAATCGTAGCGCCGTAGCGCCCTTACATTTTCTACACGAACACAAAAAAACAAGCACTTTCGAGGCAATCCGCCCTTTCAAACAAACGCTCCCGTACCTCTTGGTATTCGATCAACGATATCGATCAAGTTTGCCTGGATGGTTAACTCCAGAAGAAACCTTTTCCTGTGCAAACCACTTAAATATACAATAACTGCCATAACGGCAAGTGCCAGACACTTAGAAATCAGCGATACTAAAATAAACCAGTGACTCAGAAGAACTTTCCTAGAACTTCGGTGGAATGCCTTATAGCCTAGATGCCGCTTGCCATGACAAAATAAATTAATGCATGTGACGAGGTAAGGCTTCTTGATCGAACCACTTAACTCCATTGTTGAGGGTTGTTTTACTGAGTGCTGTACAGTACTGAGTACAGTACGGTAAATAGTCATTCGTGTGTTAAAGGCCTTCGACAGTCATATCTTGAGTTCATTATAATCCATGTCTGCATAAAACACACAGGTGCCTTGACCCTTAAAAATGGGGCCTATCAATCTTCGAAAAACCATCATCTCAGACATTTTTACGCCACATTCGTATCATGAAAGAGAAGCTTATTTGCGCCCTCAAGCCAGGCAGCAAAAGCAACGTGTTCGCAACGTCAAACAGCCAGCAAGGCTACCAACGTCAACTTGGCGGGTGTACAGGTCCTGGGTCTGGTTCTGCCGTGTTGCTACGGGAGACGGATGGGTTGGCTGGATCCAAGTCATTGTTTCTATAGTGTTGGTAGCCAATCTAGCTACGGTTGCTAGCTAACTGTGTAATGAATCGGTATAGATAGCCACGAAACCACTCAAGTATGTAACTCATCTTGGCTGTTTGGATACGACAGAGGCTTCGCTGCTCTCTGGACGAAAGCAAAACGCGACACAGCTGTGGGCTGGAGCTGGAGAGAGAGGAAAACCATGCAGGGAATAGGGAATGAATAGATTGAGAAGCTGCTTGAAACTGAGAGCGCCATCTTTCATCACTTGCATGGTGTATCCAAGAAACAGTACGTTCACTTTTATTTTCTGCTTGGATTGAGATCGCGCCACAGGTTCCTTTGCCTTCTTTATTTGATTGCTGTGTGTTTAGTCGTTTAGTCAGGAGCTGATTAGGGTAGTGTTGAAGATTGCAAGGACACGCAAACAACCGAGGATGACCTTTTTTGATCTGTCCAGTGAAGACCCCCCTGGGTATGTTTGTACTACGAAAAGCCCAACCCTTCATGATAACTGATTTGCCAAGGGTTGTCCTGTGCTCCCTCCATGTCGACAAAGCCGTCAACCTGGACCCTTGGGTTCATTCCCAATGCTGACGAGGGATGAGGGATTGGGCTCCTGACCTCCTATCCAGAATCTTACCCGCCCACCCGAAAGTGCTTTAGCCAAGTGGTCTCTGGGCTGCTGAATGTTTGGTTTGGTTTCCTGCTGTTGGCATGAACGATGAGGCAAGGGCATCCAGGCTCGATTCACTCAGAATAAGAAGGCCAGGAAACCTCAGCGATGCTGCGGATTGATAACGCAGCAGGTAGAGGGAAGGGGCCAAAAGTGCTTATACCATAGATGGCACCTCAGAGCAGACTCATGATGCTCTGATCTGGCACAAGTAGCATCCGTTTGTGTCAGACTGTTTCCCACTGCTAGCTCGCGCAGCAATGGGAATCGAATCAGCTACCTCCTGCGGTTGGCTTGGCACATGACCAGCTGTCTCCGTCCAACAACCCAGTCTACTGAAAGACCTCCTGACGGCGTCAGCGCGAGGCATCGGGTGCAAGCCATCTTATGCGCTCCTTCTGCCCAGATCAGATTCGCTTTTTGCTCTGTCGGGCGTACCGTTCCAGTATTGTTGATACCCAAGTACCACGCTCTTGTTGAATTGGTATCTTCGCCTTACAAAAGCGCAGAGGATTGAGGAAGCCATTGGATCCATTCTCTCTGTGTCAAAGTCTCTGTATATTGTGATCTCACCGAGCAACCCCTGAAGTTAAGCTTGTGTTTCTCGTGGAGAGCTTTTATCGGTTGTGATTTGCCATATAAAGACGATCAAAAGGGTCTGGATTGCGCAGTGAGAATAATGGCATAATGGCGGCAACCCTGTCTGGTGGCAACAGCAACAACAACTACTGGATCACCAAAGGTGACGTCTGGGCGTGAATCAATGAAGCGGGCACTCCTTCACTTCACTCTTTCTGACGATTTTACAGTCAGCTACAGCCAACAACCAAAGAAGAACCTTCTTCGAGAGTACATGTATATTGGGAGATTCATCCTTGATCGCATGGCCACAAACCCAGGGATCGAGCGAGCGAAAGCACCATCCATCACAAGTTCCCAGCGAAATCTGCTCCTTTGCTTCCCTCAGTAAGAATCAAAACCAAATGAACTGGACGCGGTGCGCACATTCCCTTCGTTCACTTCAGATGGGAACATTCCAACGCTATAGGGTCGGATTTCTCCCATATTCTGGACCGGCTGTTTGCGGGGAATCAGTGTTCTTGCCCCCGAACTTTAGACTTTCTGATTCCGGTAAAGGTATCATAAATGGAGCTAGGGGTTGATGGTTCGGGGGGCATTTAGTCCCAAAGTTGCAACAATATTATGTTGACTCAGACGCATGGCAAAAGAAGTAACAGGCTCGGGATGCAGCCGCAATAGCAAATTATTGCGTCCAAAGGCATTCGCAAGGCCTTGGGGGGGGGGGCACTTTTGCTGGATGCCGCTTTTGGTGGTTTCAATAGCTGTTTCAATTGAGCGGTCCGGCCTTGGCAATACCAGCCAGTGCGACGGCAACAGAGCTCCGATCACCTGATGGCGACCTTTGGTTTCCTAAGAGTTGCGGAAAAGTGCAGTGTCGTAGGACAGTGGCAATGACGACGATGCCGAACACATACATGGGGGTCATGCGATCCTGCCATTCGGAAGGATACAGCTGATTGTTGGTATGGTGACTGGGCACGATCTGTTTTCGTCCATACGCAACAGTCAAAACTCCAACGCTGGGCTGACGAGGAGCACAGTCCGTGCGGCTTCTCACCGCGACGATTCGATTCCGCAGCCCCCCGTGGCATGACATGATGTGCCTTCCGTGCTTATCGGGCCGACGGCGCCATTGAAGAGAGCAAAGAACCGACTTTAGGCATAGGCTTCAGTGGTGAAAGGGTGTATGTTCGTCTTTCTTTCAGTGGCGAAAGGGTGGGAGTGTTCGTCCTTCCTTTCAGTGGCATGGCAGTGGCGACGTGACCGTAATACCCAGATAGATGCATCACACTCAGGGGGAAGAACAGTACGGCATACGAACACCGACAGTTCTTCATTCAGTGGCAAAGCAAAGGAAACACGTGAAACTGCTATGTCTTCGTTATGGTCTACCGTGACAACGGCGTTTTGGAAGGAGGTCCTAGGGCGTACCGCAGGAGAGTGTCCCTTTCAGTATTGCAAGGGTAGACGAAGGCTTGGAGTTCTATGACATGAGGGAGGCTATCGGTTGACGGGGTCCTCTGTTTGGCTTGGAGACAACAACAAAAGCACGTCTATTTGCAAACATGGTTTGAGACAGAACCAGCCACTGTGGAGTTGAGTTCAGGTGGATCGCAGTGGTAAACCTACTGTAGAAGGCCAACAAGGATCGGGTTTTCGGTCAGGTCAGGTCGTATACTTTTTGTATGGAAAGAATTTAGGCAAATTGAACGGCACTACCGGTAAGGCCCGCCCCGATGGATTACGAAGTTGTCTTCTTCAAGAATGGAAAGTATTGAACTGGCATCCGAAGCCTGTAACCCAAGGAGTAATAATTTCAATGTCTATTCTAGTCTGGCCAAATAAAAGGAAGAGCCCTAGTAGTTTGCCAAGGCGTTCACGAAAAGCCACAAATGCCACAGGCAGAAAAAATTAGAACAGGGATGTCAGAGTCTTGCCTTACGGTACCGTACATGGGCTATTGTCAAGCCTCGTTGATATACAAGGGTTATCTTTCTGTCAAAAACGCAAGAAACGGAACTACAAGGGACAGGGGCTAGTCAGCAAAAAAGCCGGTGCCTGATCATTCAGCCCATCCTCCAAGCAAGTTCGCCTTTCAAAGCGTTCTTTCATTCAAAAATTCCACGTTAAAATAGTTATCATCGTCGCCGCTAGCTCCAGAGGGCTCTTAATTGTGTCATTAAGCAAATCTGATGCAAGCAAGATGCCCAGTACAGGCCGTCTTGTAGCAGATACCGAAGCAAGTTTTAGTTTGTATGCGGGCACCGGGCAAGAAGACCTGAAAATGGCAAGAAAAATGGGCTCAGTTCCACTCATTTATGCCGGCTTGCTCTCTCTGATCTTCTAACCACCTCCAAACACTCCCGGGCCAAACCACATGCCCCTCCCCTCCGCAGCCCGCCAGTATCTCCCCTTCGCAGGAAAGCATCTCTTTTACCGTACAGGAGCCAGACCTCACCAGTCAAGTCACCTTCCAGCTAGAGTACGAGTACTAGTACCCTGTAGCGGATTTGGTTGTCCGCTTCTGCATTGGGGGGATCCTGAGGAAGACACTCCATGAAGGTCTTCCAGCAGGTGACGTCCATGCAGCGAGAAGTTGCTGCGGCAACATTGACAGGTGTAGTGCATAAAGTCCTGAAACGGCCTTGTTGGACTGACTCCGGAGGCAAGTCACAATGATTGGATAAGGCAAAGGCAAGCTTCAGCTCGGCGTCAGTGTGATGATTGATTCTCTTTTCCGGCCCTTGCGTGCCATGCATCCTCAGAGGACGACGGGGAGAATGGACTTGGCTCCGCTCGGCATCTGCTCGGCATCAAGGTCACTGGCGGTTTCTGAATTGATTTCTGCACTGAGAGCCCAACGCTACTGTTTCATCAGGACAGGTCAAGCGGCGCTGATCATGGCAGGACAAGCGAAGTCAGACGACAAAGCCACGCGTTCTTATCGATGTGTGTGTACTCACATACGGTACAGGATCAACAAAACCTGTCAGAAGCATGGAAACAGAATAAGTTTCACGTGCTTTCGTCTTCCTCCTTCCCAGCAACAGCGTTGGGCCCACCGCTTGCCTCACCGCTGTCGTCAGTCTCCTTCCAGCAACAAAGAGACGAGACGGTCGGATCTGAAGAGTTCATCACACACAGCCATTGTTTTGTGCCATGACGAATGACTGGGTCCATCTCTGTCAGCATCTCGCCTCAGTGTTGGCGACCAAAAGATTGCTGATGATCCATCCGAAAGTCTGCAGAGAGCATCATGTCACCAGGAACAATCGCTGGCAACTCAACAGTTGACAACATGAGAAAGTCCGGCTCTCTGTAGAGGAGAAATATCACTCACCCCAGCACACCCTGTGTGACCGAGCAGAGGCTCCAGTTCGTTATGGGTTTCCGGCGCAAGGTATCTGGAACAAAATGAACAGCCTTTTTGCTGCGGGCAAACCGAATGTCCCGTACTCACCTCGGTCAGTGCCATCCAGAGGAGAAATGGTGAATCACAGTACCAATACTTCAAAAGAGAAGAAAATGTGCTTTCTGGCACTCCAGCCAGACACCACCAGAAGCATGAATATGAAGAAATATCCGCGCTGCTTCAAGAACACAACAGAGAAAACCATTCCAATTCGCAGCAAAGTCAATCGCAGCCATGGTTTAGCATGAGATCACAACAGTTTTAACGCGCTGCAGTTGCCGCAACCAAACAACCTGACAAAAGACCCTTTCAATCATCACACCATTGGTTCATCCACCGTTTCTCTGAGGCTTTTATCCCAGGTTAGCTTCACTGCCGACAAAGCCCACCCTGAGCCCCACAAACACATACAACAAAAAGCTGTCAGTGACAGATTGTTCATCGTTGTGGCATACATCGGTGTGTGGACTCCGGTCCATGGGTTCGAGCGAGAGTACTTACCAAAAAACACTCCATCAACCCTCACCTTGTTCTGTCCACCCCAGGAAATTTGACCATGGCATGGTTCTACCGGCTCTCACCACAGCAAGCAAACCGCTTGTCACTGCGCGGTCAACAAATGGGCACCCAGGCGGCACGTCTCCGAAGCAAAAGCAGTCGTAGAGAACTCGCTCATCACGCTGCAAAACTCAAACCAACCCTCCTGAGGATGCGATTCCTTTGCCCCACCGCAATGACTCGGAACTGCGTGGAGCCACCGCTCGGCAACTCTCCTTGCTCGACAACATGGCCGCAAGGCACAATGGGAAGCATCGACCACAACAACGCACTGCCGGGAGTCCGGCAATCTAATGTAAGAGCGCTCAGTCTTTGTCCGCCATGGCCTCCCTCTCACCACTCACCATGTTCTCCCACCATCGCTTCCAACAGATGGAACCACATGCATGCTGGGCACTCTGACTGAAAAGGAAAAACCTCGCGCTGAAGAGCTCTCTGCTTGTACAGAGCATGCATAAGCACAGGCCATTCAGCACCCAGTTTTTCCTTTTCAACAGAGAACCGCATGGATGACGTGCACAGTTGGCCAAACAGGAAAGACCTCGCGCTTGAATAGTTCTCTGCTCTTATGGAGCACACAAAAGCAGAGGCCATTCAAACGCAAAGCCTTTCCTGTTTGGCTTGATGCAGCACACCAAATCGTTTCAATGCAATGAAATAGAACATACAGCAATCAACCGGAGCAAAACCCCAAGGAGTGAACTGTTACTTTATGGGAGAGAGCGGAACTGGCAATTCCCCGAAGGAATACGCTGAACTGCGGCGGACCCAGGCAGCTCATCTCCTTGGGTTTTCTTTGGATTTGCAGATTTTGAGGGAAGCCACGACAGCCAATCTCGGTGGTCAAGTTCAGTTTCTGGAAGGATCCAGGATGCGATGCATAATGTGTGGCTGATCCCGACTGAGCTCCACAGAAAGAATAACCCGGCTCAGAGTTTGGTCTCGGAGCCACTGAGACTTGGCCACGCGATCGTAGCTACCGGTAATAGCTAGCATTGTAGCATGCCACTTCATTGCAGATTGCATGCCGCGTGCCATTGGGTATTGGATTGCATGAAGGGTACCAATACTAGCTAGCCAGTACCACCTACCAGACCGTCGACCGTACCGAATCTTTGTCTATCGGGCGCGGATGCTCTTCGCTCGGGGGGGAATATTTCGGCAACCGACCCTTGGCGATATCTGATTGTTTGGAGCAATAGGACCGCAGTCGTTGTCCATTGTAAATACTTGTTACTGATGCTTTTTTGAAGTTTTATGAGCCCCTTGAAGTAAAATTTGCAGACGAAAGTAGATGCCCCGCAATTTTACGAGACGAAATACCACTTTTTGCCAGGGTGAAAATGATAACCTTGGTAATAAGATTACTACAATTGGATGCGCAGCCTTAGGCTCCACTCCCAGCCACCGCCGCTCAGCCGAACTCTAGTAGTCTAGTTGACATCTGCAGTTCACTAGGACCATCATCTAGCTAGCTAGCTAGGTATGTCTAGGTGTACTGTGCTGTGCTGTGTCAAAACGACAGTGATGGAGTTGGGGAACAGTATGGTGCTACCAAGTGCAGCACAAGCCCAGAGCTGTTGGAAACAAACACTGAACTGAGCAGCCAGGGTAGGATGGATTGGTATCTCGCAAAGAGGCACTGATTTCATCTTCCTTTGGTGGCTGCTCAGAGCACAGATTGACTGGCTCCTGCTTGTGACTGCTTCCCGGGTTACCCTACTGGCCATCTTGCAGTGGCAACCAGTCTAAGACAGGAGCAAATACCGGTATGAGTCCCCTACATTGCCCTTTTAAGAGTCATGGCAATAGGTGCAGAGTTGGCTTTCTCTCACCAGCGCAGCCAGCACTTTTCTCCCAATTTCTGTTTTGATGACTGAGCTCCACATAATGTCATTGACAGACTGAAATTTGCTGATTTGATCAGTTACCTTGAGCCATAATACTGGTAGTAACTATTCATGCTTGGTGTGCCAATAGGTTCAGAGTGATGCTCGCAAGTTTGCAAAAATCTCATTATCATAATGGCATGAATGATCGTCCCGAGCTGTTTGGTCGAACTTGGAATGGTGTTGGTAGAATCTTATAAGCAGGTGCGGATGTCACAGCAGTATTGATCTCTGGAAGAAGGACAGACCATAAACTTTTTGAGCTCATGTAGTTGAAGACAGAACGTGCTGTGGGCATAAGTAGGAGTGACGATGAGGGCACCATCTCAGAATCTAGAGTTCTGTTCCCAAAACCACCCCCAATTGAGCTTTTAGCTTTGCAGCCCCCTTTTAAAATGGAAATGAAGATCACTCAATAGCTCACTCAATATAATTGTCAGGACACTCTCTAATACCGGTACCACTCTGAGGAGTGGAGGGAGCAAACTTGTAGCTAGCTTGCTTGCCAGAGCAGCCCAAATCTCTGGGTAAAGATCATTTTTCTATTGACGCCTTGCCGGTATGCAGAATACAGAAAGGATCGCTTGGCACACTGGCAGGTTTTGGTCTTCTGGCACCTACCTCTGTACCAGTACTGGTACCTAGCTACCGTATGACTGCGTATCGCTGCTTTCCGAAGTCTACCGCGCAACACACTGCAAGAACCCAGCACACTGTGTGCGTGTCATGTGTGTTGTCATTGAAAATCCAGAACATGTACGTGCTAGTTCAAGCCAACGATCGGGTCAAGCAGCCAGCCATCAACATCACACAAGAGAGGATAGTTGTATACTCTGAGTATTGGTTACCTATACTAGCTGAACTGAATGATCATCTTGTTTTCCCTGCCTCTTACTAAGACTGTTCAGCGTGTAATTGAGGAGGGAGCTTTAGGATTACATGTACATTGCAATCAGCGAGGAGAACTGAGCCAGTGAATTGTAGCCTATTCAAAATCACCCGTGCTCCGTGCTCCAAGCCACGCTTTGGCTTGAAAAAGACTGTCCACAGAGCTGTGTGGCCACAGCCCGCAAGATGAAAACTCAGTACCAAAATCTTACAGCGACAGAAAGGATCTCAGTTTTTGCAATGCCCCAACGTCCCAACCCTTTCAATGAACCATAGCAACAATAACACATGCCAACATGTTAACATGACATTGTATGTTGCCAGGAGGTTGTCGGGAAGAAAAGCGCAGCACTTCCTTGCGTTGGTCGCTGGTCATGAAGGAGCCGTTCTGCGGCGGCGCTATCGTTACGATGAAATGAGTTTTCTGGTACGGTATACCTGCCCGCGGCTGCGACGCGACAAAAGACCATTTGAACTTATGAATTCCTCCGCCGTCTTCTGTTGGCTCCTGCAGATGAAAGGGAGATGTGTCCTTGTCATCGGGTGGATCTGGCCTTTGATCTGCAACTCTGTGCCATTGGTGAAGATCCGACAACAACCTGTACGCATCGACTTCGTAGGAATAAGGCTTCTCATTTCATATTCTTTGGACATCTTTCTTCAATTATTGATCACCAAACTCGACCACAAGTATCATGCATCGCGAACGGATTGCGTTGAACAGGACATCATGACAAGGCCGCTTCTCTCGGTCCTCTTGCGAGAATTTGATCGATTCGATTATACTGAAAGATCGAAATGGCGTCTACATCATCGCAGCTATTCATGTATGCTTCTCGTTTGCCACCTTGTACCCACCTGGTCCGCATCGTACCGGTACCTACCTCGTACGGTACCTTAGACAAGAAGCAATGCATCATAGAAAGCCATGGATAAATTCAGGAGGGCGATCGACCGATGTTTGCACTTGATCAATGTTGGGAGATCAAGTCTATCGCTGAAATGGTATTTGATTCTGATTGAAGCGAAGGTGCGGGGACCTTGCTCAAAAGAAAGTTCATAGATGTGTACGAGCCAGGGGTGCGGTGATGGTGGCAATATTAGTGTTTCCGATGCAAAGGAAGGTACCAGTACCAGTACGATGTACGGGTACACCATTAGTAGTGTTGGATGGGAATTCACAGCTTGGGCGCCACATCAGCTCCCCAGCCCCAATCCAATGGGCACATACCGTAATCACTCTCATAGAAGCTGAAGGTTTGTTCCAGCTCTTCTGTCATATATCTGAAGTGTAAGGTAATCCGACCATTAGATTGTTGGGGAATGGAACGTGCGGAGAATGAACCACTTCAGGTTTGACATCACGCTTTTTGTTGGGTGGCGGCCAGTAGTTGGATCGAGCACTTCCTTGGGGGTTTCTCACGAACTGATAC